CTTTAAAGAAACTTACTTTGCATGCAAAGCCTCATCTGAGTGCTGTTGAGTCCTGAGACTACTGCTAAACATAAAATGTTCTGTGTAAAGGTGGCCTACATTTGGAAACACACACTGCTATAGTTGAGACAACGCCATGTCACAATCTGAACATTATAAACTAAAGGTAGAATGTATGGCAGACCTGTTGTATTGAATCGCAACAGACTGCACAGGTGTACCTAATAAAGTGACCCCTGTCAGTGTAGTTCACAACTGTACCTCTGTGATGGGGACAGATGTGTCTGCTGGAGGAGTTCGATGCCACTGCAAAGCCTCTGAAGTTATGGAAACGTATGACGGTTTATACCTGCCGTACACGAAGCGACTAACTTACGTGTTCACTTTAGCTAACACAGTTTATTAGCCTAGCATTAGATAAACAGAGAGCCGCTGTTGTCCACTGTAATGAATACTAGAATGCATTTTGTCGCGTACGACCGTTATGATGACTTATAAGTTGGTGACACCGTTTTTAATAAGGGCAGTGCCTTTACAGTGCATGTGATGCTGATAGCTAAGTTAGCTAAACCTGAGCTAGCATAATTCATTGCTTGTTTGCTAGCATTAGCTGTTAGCTTTCGTGATAAACACCAGTCAATATGTAACAGAACTGAGACACTGTAACGGCAAACAGCTCCTCGTAGAATAAATATCGCCCAGTGTTTATTAATACACGTATGCTAGTCATGAAGCTAAAATGTAGAGTGATTTTTGCGAACTACTCACCTTGCAAGTAAGTCAGTTGCGTCCCTGGTGTCGTAACGCAACACTCACCGGAAGTGAACACAGTCTGGGTTGTGTAGTTCTTTTAACACTTTGTAGTCCTGTAGCAGTATCCCTGCACCTGCAGGACGGTAATCATTAGTAGGAAGGCCCTAATCATCTCTTCAGCAGGGAATGTGGAGGGGATTCCCCGCAGGATAACTTTTTAGGGAATTTACCAGCTAAACGGACCATTTAGGAGCATTTGGAAACAAAAAAAATCTTAGATCAGGGGTTCTCAAGGTTGTAGTGACAGAGTGCCATTTTAGAGCCAGCATATGATTGAGGACAGGAAATGTTCACTCACTTTGGCTTTTTTATGACAGTTAAATTACATTTTTATAATATTATACTAAGAAATTTAATGACACAGGCCTACTATACCATAACTTTTAGGACTTTTTTTATGACAATATACTATAAAGTTTAGAATATTTTATGACAGGCTTTAACTTTTAGGACATTTTGTGATATACTATGACTTTTATGACATTCAGCCGCATTTTGGCCATCGCCTTTTAGCTAATTTTCTTATTCATGAAGTGACATTGATTAAAAATCTGCCATACTATAATGAAATTCAACTCCAAATGTGCAAAAGACCTGTATAGATGAATCGGTAATGAATAAATATTTTACATCACTTTGTCAGCCTTACTATATCTTTTAAAAAAAACATTTTTACACTATGTTCATTAATGATTAATTTATGGTTAATTTAAAGTTTATTATGCTTAATTTATTCTATTTTTATTTTTGTTTGTTGTCTGTGTTTTGTATTTCTGGTGTTCTGTTCACTGCATCCTGGAAGATGATAAACATTTGATATTTGCCTTGTTATGTTTCTATGTTACCCGTTCGAATGGTTAAATTAAAAAGTTAGGAGCAATTTTTTTTTTTTTTGCTGTCGCCATCTTGGATTTCTGGAGGCAGCAGTGACTATATTTGGACAAGCAGGTGGACCTGTGAATACTGGAGGGGATTTTTAGTGTCTGTTATAAAGGTAAAGCAGTGCTTATGGACATAAAGAAATGACAAAGATTGACTTTTCATCACTTTTGTTTATTCTTCATGGTTCTTTGTTATCCATTGTGATTCCAAAGGGTCAGCTGCACGACACTGTGCAAACCCAATCAAAAATCAACAATGAGAAAATATAAGAAAAAAAAATCTCACACACCTTTTAACAGAACTGATGTTGTCACATTTAGGCTAACTATGATTCATAACCGGTATTTAACATTGATGTATTTACTTATATTTCATTCTCATTTACAAAATACACAAAATCAAAGACAACATATAGCATTGTTCATTTACACTTCTTTTTTTTATACTTTTTTTTTTATATTCATGGTTCCACAAACAGTTTCTATACTTACAATCAACTACAGTTTCTACAGCACAGTACAATGACAAAGGTGATAAATTCTTTGTTACATTTAATTAATGGCAATGCAATCTTATTGACAAAAGCCTCAAGACTTAGGGTTGTTTCAGAGAGTACACACGAATGTCAGCTGTGCCATTATTAAGCCAACACTCAGCGTTTTAGTGGATGAGGCCAGCATATAGTAATGTGCTCCGATTCCCAATAGCTTTGAAGAAGAGAATAAGAGACAAATACCCAAACACTTATTGCTTTGTTAACTTTTTGCACTCACGATTGACTGTTGCTCAGGCAACAAGTTCATTATACAAAAAAACCCTGTAACGTAAGCTAAGATATGTATCTACGAGAGACGATTTCAACTTTGATGGAGCCTGAACTGAGTCACTGAGACAGGTTAGCGCTTTAACATCATTCCATGTTGAACAAATACAACTGTTATCTTGACATCGTTGTTCTTAAATTTCATGGGTGATACAGGACGACATACAGAGAGTAGGACTGCTGACGCTTAGCTTTTATATTTGTACAGTTAATGTGCATTTACATACTATCAGTGTGCTTTTAAGAGGGCAAATTTTGTGGTCTGACCTGCTGGCCGTTTTGGCTCCTGACACCATCATCTCTTGCAGTTTCAAAACAAGAGCACCTGGACTCTCTCAGACTGGTTATCAGATGAGTTGGGAAAGGTCTTCATTACCATAACGAGTCCAGGTGTTCTTGTTTCGCATGATCGTTGGCTGCGAACCTACAAAGACTGACTGCAATATATATTTCCCGGGGTCAAAAGGTTTGAAGAGCTATCTTAATAGTTACATTATAAGTACTTTTATTTACATATATTCATATAACAGAGAGTCGATGGTGTAATGTGTAAACTCAGGCCATAGAAAATATTTGGCAATAATTAATGAGAGGCGGTACTCATGGCACACTCATAGATAATGGGTCAGATGTCAAATTTAGTTAGATCAGGGTGGAGGGAGTGAAATGCAAGGGGCAGGTCATCAAAGCTCGAAGCACCTATGTTCACAACTGCACTTCACAATCTTGTCATTTGGTAGGTTTTGGTCTTTGTGCTCTTGCTAAACGCCCGCCATGTTCTTCATTAAAACTCTAGCAAGGCTGCATCGGATTGTGTCTTGAAGAACTCAAGGCGTTCACAATTGTGCATGTACGACAGTGTACATTTAGTGCAATGGGTTGTCTATTTATTCAACTGTCTCGAGTCTACGTATGGCTGCTATCCTACAAAATGGCAGTTTGGACGAAAACATTTTTTTTTCCTTTAATCTTACATGTTAATGATTGTTTTTCTTTTTATCATGCAATTGTGAACATATCACCCATGCTTCTCTAGATCAGGGGAATGTGGCAATAATTTTGTGTCAAGACTCTGTGCTGTAACCAGTGTGGGGATATATGACAATCAGCCCTTGGCAGTGAGTTCTCTACAGTGAATCTCATGTTATATCTAGCTACATTTGTATAATAAAGCACAAGTAAACACACTCCAAATCTGTACCCTCATTAGAATAATCCATTTCAGCTGCAATTAATCCTCACTGTTCAACATGTTCCTGTTTGTGCCCCGAGGACATCCTAAATTAGGAAAATTTAAAATAGAACAACTCTGCTGTCCAACGCTTTTTTGTTGGTTTTACTTTGGGTGCTGAATTTTCCAACAATTTTAATATTTACTCTACTGATGCTTAAAGGGATAGTTCGGATTTTTTTTGAAGTGGGTTAGTACGGGGTCCTTATCCATAGACAGTATATGACATACAGTAGATGTCAGTCGGCACTCCCTCAGCTTGAAGAAGCAGGCTGGTGGAGTTAGTCACCTAAAAAAAAGTCCCATCGCAGGGGCAGCAGGCCGATCAAAGCACCCCAGACGTCCCTCTCCCCAGCAACACTTTCCAGCTCCTCCTGGGGGATCCCGAGGTGATCCCAGGCCAGATGAGATATGTAATCCCTCCTGCGTGTTCTGGGTCTGCCCCGGGGCTTCCAACAAGTGGGACATGCCCAGGACACCTCCAACAGGAGGCGCCCAGGAGGCATCCTGATCAGGTGCTCGAACCACCTCAACTGACCCCTTTCGACGCGAAGGAGCAGCGGCTCTACTCGAGCTCCCTCCGGATGTCAGAGCTCCTCACCCTATCTCTAAGGCTGAGCCCAGCCACCCCACGGAGGAAGCTCATTTCGGCTGCTTGTATCCGCGATCTCATTCTTTCGGTCACTACCCAGAGCTCATGACAATAGGTGAGGGTTGGGACGTAGATGGACCAGTAAATTGAAAGCTTCGCCTTCCACCTCAGCTCCCTCTTCACCATGACAGACCGGCGCAGCGCCTGCATCACCGCCGATCCATCTCACACTCCATTCTACCCTCACTCGTGATCAAGACCCAGAGATATAAAAAAGTCCCACCAAATAAAAATAAATAATAAATAGTATTTTTACAGCTTTACCTTTCCGCCAGACAGCCCATTCCAACGGGGAAGCCACTAACAGCTGCAGTTTCCCATCTATTCTTTCTCAAAGCCACCAGACTCCATTGACAAAAACAGTCATTTTAGCTCACTGAACACAGGAGCTGCTGGTGTACCGCTGCTTTGATCAGTCCCTTAGTTTGTGTTAATGTGTGACTTTGGTGAATCCAAACTCACCCTTTTAACCACCAAAGTCAAACAATAACACAAACAAGCTAACTGTTCGAGGCAGTGGTAGACCAGCAGCTCCTGTGTTCAGCAGTGTTAAATCACTGTTTTTCTCAATGGAGTCTGGCTGTGAAGAGAGCCATGTAACAGCTTTATTTTACAGTTGTAAATCACTGTCTTTCATTAAGGTAAAGCAGTGAAAATATTCTAAATATAGTGTGTACTTAAAACTCTTTTTAAGACTGTTTTAGCTGGGACCCTTCACAGCAGTATACTGCTTAGCTTCCATGTTGGATTCCAGCCTGCTTCTCCAAACTGGGGGAATCGCGACTGACATCTACTGTACGTAATACACCATCTATGGATAAATACCTTATACAATCCCACTTCAAAAAATCCTGATCTTCAAGCCAGTCTTGATCCAAGAGCAAAAAACATGTTAAGTACGTCCAGTATCTTATCACACCATGTTCGGTTACCAATATAAGACAGCTACCCCACAACCTTTCACAAATAAAATTAATGTTTGCCAAATATGAAATGGTAAAAGACATAAAAAACAAATTAAAATCTCAATATTGCACAGAGGTTCAACATTGCACTAAGAAGCACACTCACATTAATATAAACATTCAGTTCACACAAACAATTAGATTATAGTCTGTCAGCTCTGACACACCCCTGAACTGAAACCGTCAAAACTAAGACTTTTAGAGTATTTTTTTTTCCTCCTTTGTGATTACCTGCTTTTTTCCCACCTGTGTGTATGATTTAAGGAATATTTTAATTTTAAGAACATCCTGTGGAGTGTGAGGTTCACCATCTTACACGGTATCACTGCTACCGACGGCAGAATAAAAGCACTGTGCTGTTTTTTGTGGGTAGAAAATGTCAAAAATATTCAGGTGACTTAAACCAGACTAACCAATGAGCAAATGCAACTTGTCCAGAACGCTGTTTTACATGTTGTACTCTCAGTTGTCATAAATTTACATACATACTTTGTGACATGCATAACACCCTCCAAAACATATATTATAAGAGACAAACATACTGTAAGCCTGGGAGGGGAGGGACTAAAAAGGCATTTCTTACAAAGGGATATACAGTATGATTGAAAAACTGGTGACTGAGTGTGAGATTCTGAACATTTTCATCGAGTCAAGAAAATGTTAGGGACATTCACACTGGCAAATGGTTGTGCTTTAAATGTACACTTGAACTTACTCTTTAAGATGAAATGGTGACCATGACAACACAAAATCTTCACTTGGCATGGGAGACGTGTCTGTTAACGGATCTGGACGGTCTCATGGCTGCTCGGAGGTGATCGGAAACAATGCTTTAAAGGGAGAAGGGGCTCGATTGATCTCCTTGTCGCACACTAACTTCAACAAAAGCAAACCTGGAATGTTCTATCTATAAAAATGGCAGTTAGTCTGTACATCAACACAAGACCTCAGGAGATAAAGAATGAGGACAGGTCTTTGTTTGAGAGAAAGCCAAGAGAGGTGTGTCTTGGTTTTACCCCGCAAAGTCAAAAATGCTTCAAATCAAGGCAGAAGATGTCGCATTTTTGATTCTATGTCCGACAATGGCAAAGTACTCAAGACTTGACAGGTGAGTTTGCTCAGAAGAATGGAGGTGACTACAGAGAACTCTGCAACAATGGCTAGTGGTCATTTCTATGAGTCTATTTGCATGGCTCTTTATCAAGAGCCCCCATCTCCTGACCTCCAACCCCAGGTGTATGGACTTATATCAGGGGGGCCGAATCTAAATCTATCATATGAAGTGTCATGCTCTCACTGAACATGTTAATATTACTTTTACTTCATCAGAAATTTGCCTCAGTTTGACGTTTCTTCAGGTACTTTAATGGTTTGTCACAGCGTCACTATCACCCATCAAATAATCATCAATCCCGAATATTTACAGCAGATCTGCATCTGTGCACAAACGTTACTCTATAATCATGAGACAGGGGTCAGAGGTAAGGATCTGGAGGGCTCTTGAGCTGCTCATTCACAGTGTGGTGAAAACTCTTCTGCCCCACCCCCTGGGAAAGTTGTTGGCGCCACACTATTGCAGCACCTGACCCCGCGTTTCTGGTAGTTTGAGGGCCAGAAAACTGCCCGCCGCCAGCGCCCCCGAAGCGAACAGGATGGGCACAGCCTTGGTGATACCAACGAAGGAGGTAAAGATGCTTATGCCTAAAACAGCCGCTAATTTACAGAGGGCGTTGAGGAAGCCGAAAGCCGTGGTTCTGAGGAAAGAGAGGGGACAGATAAAGAGAAAAGAGGCAGGTTATTGTCTGTTGTTCAGGAATATATCAAAGCTACAGTTGGTAACTTTTATGAAAATAATGTTTGTCATATTTGCTGTAACTGTCACTACATCCACAAAGTATTAGCAGTGTTCCATACACTTTTCACCTACGACCTATGTTGTTAAGAGTCAGACAAGCATGTTTGGGTGCTCATTCTCCAGGAGAATATCCACAGGACTTTCTACACTTGGACTGATGTCTTTTCGACTGATAGTTTTTAAGAAGAGAGGAGAAAAGTAACGCCTCCACAGTTGAGCATTGAGATCAGAGGCTCAAACATGTTTCATACAGGCAACCAATGGTGTTCCATACAGGGTGCAGTGCAGATAATCAAAACTTAAATGCTAAATGGACCTGCATTTGTATAGCGCCTTTCTAGTCATCTGACCACTCAAAGCACTTTATACACTACGAGCCACAATCACACATTCACACACTGGTGGCCAAGGCTACCATAAAAGGTGCCACCTGCTACTTTTTTTTAACACGCTTACACATCGATGGAAGCAGGAGCAATTTGGGGTTCAGTATCTTGCTCAAGGATACTTTGACATGCAAACTGGAGGAGCCAGGGATCAAACCGCTGATCTTCCGAATGGGCACACAGCAATCTTGTCATTTGGTAGGTTTTGGTCTTTGTGCTCTTGCTAAACGCCCGCCGTGTTCTTCATTAAAACTCTAGCAAGGCTGCATCAGATTGTGTCTTGAAGAGCTCAAGGCGTTCACAATTGTGCATGTACGACAGTGTACATTTAGTGCAATGGGTTGTCTATTTATTCAACTGTCTTGAGTCAACGTATGGCTGCTATCCTACAAAATGGCGAGAAGGAACATCGCGCAATAAAAGATCTGACATATAACTTGGGGAAAGGCCTCTCAGGGCTTTGTAAGTAATCAATAAAATATAGAATAAATTCGTAAGTCACAAAACACAGAAATATTATCTGGTTATATATTCTAAATGAATTAAAATAAATTATGTATAAACTTGACTTGCAAACAGTGTCTGTTTTGACAAACTTGCAGCTGCAGTTTAGGTTTGTAAATTTATTGCATATTTGTCTCAATAAAGTTGATTTGAAAAACCAACAAACAAAACAAAACAAAAAAGAACAAAAACTTAAATGTACAGTCTAAGAGTGCTGCCAAGTGGTCATCACCTGGCACTAATGTTAAAATAATTCCCACTTTGAAACATATATTCAAGAAAAGGTAACACATTTAACAACTGAAGCCTCCCCTCCCTCGACTGTCAAGCGCTGTGGGCGCACCTAGCAAACTTACTGAAATCTCACAGGAACAAATGGCGTGATGGTGTTTTGCTTGGTCAGGTATGACAGAGGGGGAACTGGAGATTACACACATATGAAGTTTACTTATGGCCTGGAAGTGTTTTTTAGCTATCAGTGCAAAAAGGTCTTCTGTACGGAATACCGTTAGCACAGGAGCACAGTTAGTTTGCACTATGAGACAGATAGTCTCTGTAAAAAATCAGAAGACTCAGTCAATGAGAGAGAGAGTTTGTGAGTTTGTGACCCGGCTGCTAAGTTGGAAACAGGTGGGCAATATACTAAGCACCGCCCACAAGCTGGGTCAAATGTTCTCATTTTACAGCTAAACAGTCCACTAAAAATATTTCTTAATTAATATTATTAATTAGTAATTGATTGCTCCATCTGTTGATGTCAATATCACATTGCTGTACAATCTCTTTTTTTAAAATTCATTAGCTTATTCACTCTTAGTTGTAATATACTGCAGCGTTTTCTATACTTTCTGTCTTGTCTGCCTTTATGTCTAGGTGTTGTTTATGTTGGTTGGCTTTGTTTGTTTGTATATGTATGTGCTCTACTTGGAAAAAACTTGTTTCTGAAAACATTTGAGGTGAGAAACAGGCAATGCAGTAACAGAATCTTGATTGAGTTTGAACCCAGTTCACGGGCAGTGATTGACACGATCTACAGCTGCTCTGATTGGTCGTTCACAAGCGGTAATACTCATAATGAGCAATACAAAGAGACAAAGGAATATGATTGTTTTTTCACAGATCACCTGTCTCATATAATGCCACGTGGATATAGTGACAGTTTCAGCAAATATGACAAAATGTTATTTTATAAAAACAACTTCAGCTTTAAGAAGTTATAAAAACAACCAAAGGAGAAAGGCAGTGGAATTATACAGCAACACAAGATTTGTTTTTCACTTCTCATCCCAGATACAGCCATTTTCTTCCTGAGATTAACAGCTAAAATTGAGCTGTTAATTGATTCAGAATGTAATCTGCATTTGCACTTCATTCAATGTAAAGGCTGTAGGGACTCTGTATGACCACAAGGTGGAGCTACATCTTGTAAAATGAACAGCTGCTCTCACACTGAATACAGAATATACATGTTCCTGTTTGGTAACATCATTAATTATGTTACCCACAATATTTTCCATCAGGTTGCATTTCAGTTAATAAATCTAAGTTGAATTTATATACCCAGCTATTTATAGTGGGCCCCAAAAAAAATGAAAAGCACATCCTACTAAAGCCATTAGGTGGCAACAAGACAGCCAAGTGCTTTGCATCACATGCACCACCAATGATTTCACCCCACAATGTCATCCATCCCTGTGAGCCGACCAATCATCGTAGGGCAACTCTTATGACATCATCTGACACGTCATTCAGCACCACTGACTGTGTCGTCACGGTGTCAATGAGATTTCAGAGCATGCCTAAATTGCCTACCTCTTGTCAGAGGGGTAGAGCTCGACGGTCAGCACATCCAGGGCGTTCCAGGAGGCGATGCTGATTCCCCCGAACAGGCAGAGCAGAGCAATCATGGCTGACTCGCTGTTGCCGAAGGACAGGAAGAAACAGCTGACGCAAGAGATCACACTGGAGCCCGCTGCAGGTGGACAAAGGGAGAGAAGGAAAGGTGGAGGGAGAGAGTGATCTATCAAGGAGGGAAATCATGCATATATATATA